TTTGCAACCACAAACTTAAAGTTACAAAATACTATAGACTAAAGGTCTATGAAGTTTAAAGAGGTCAAAAGTCAAGCTCAAGAAGAGTCAATACAATCATCATCATTTCTCAAATCTTGAGAGTGAGATTCTAAATTTCAATTTTTCAAAACCTAAACCCTCAATTTGTTGTCAGAAGTTCGCCTAAACTTCCTCAAATCAACATCCAGAAGATATAAATCAACAACCAAGCATCAACCAATACACAAATCAAAGAACTTCACAAAATAAAATTTCCGCCAATTTTAGTTTTTTTTTATTTATTCAATCCAAAAAAAGCAACGGATGTGGCTGAAAAATGATGTTTGGGGGGTTTAAAGCCCCCAAACCCTTTCCCCCTTTTTTTGGGGGTAAAAAGTCCTAAATACCCATGCTCGAAGGGTTTACTTTCGTAAAAATTGGCGTACCGTATATGCGGGATTATGCGCCCTATGTGGGATGCAGCCACATATGAGGAGAGATGCGGAGCTTATGACAGGCACATCTCTCCATAGCACATATGCGGGCGCATCTCTCTAGAGTACATATGCAAGCATTTTCCATGCACTAACTAGCACATAACACCTGATGCGACCGCATTTTAAAACACTGCTACAAAGCCTCCTATCTTAGAATTTTCAGCAACATCTAAAGGAGTAAAAGTGCGCCATCGGTAAAGGAATCAGGTGTGGGGTGTACCAAGACTTGTGAGGATAACTCTAGATATCTTCCAGTAAGTCTTCCCAATAGTTTTGATTAATTTTCCGCATTATTTCTTATTTTTTGTGAATTTTCAGGAACATGTATTGTACTAAAAAGTATGTGGAGAGATGCGGCGCATAGGCAAGCGCATCTCTCTAGAGCACATATGTGAGCATTTTCGATGCACTATCCAGCGTATAACGCCTGATGCGGCTGCATATGCGTGATGCGGCCACATTTTAAAACACTGCTACAAAGTTCCATATCTCAGAATTTCCGCAACATCTAAAGGAGTAAAAATGCGTTATCAGTCAAGGAATCAGGTGCGGGGTGTACCAAAACTTGTGAGGGTAACTCCAGGCATCTTTCAGTAAGTCTTCCCGGTAGTTTTGATTAATTTTCAGCATTATTTCTTATTTTCTGTGAATTTTCAAGAACACGTGTTGTACTAAAAATTATAGTGGAAATTTGTTTAAAGCTCCTGGATAGTTTCCATTGCTTTTGGCAATGAAAATAAAGATCTTAGGTTGTATCTAGGGTATTATCTTTTATTTACAATAATATTTAGTGGCCTTTGTAAGTAGAATTCAGGTATATTAAATAAAAGAAAAATAATTTTTAAAAAATTTAATACCTTGAGTTCCACATAGCCACTTCTTTCATGATTTGGGGCCTAGCCCTAGAACATGTCATGCTGTAGATCAAGGTGTTTCTATCTCTACTTCGTCTTCTTGTTGCTTTTGGGGATATCGTCTCTCTAGAGTTCCCACCACCAAGGAAGGGGGGAAAGAGAGAGAGAGAGAGAGAGAGAGAGGGGGCAGTTATTTTCTGGCAGAGTCACAGTGGTTTGGGCTTGAAGCTGGTTTCAGCGGGATTGTATACTATGAGACCATTTAGTTTTAGTACAAGGAGGTCACAGTCACTTTTAATAATTGGATGGGAAATTCAATAGATGAAAATGTGTCAATATTCGAGAAATTTTATTTCGAATGTTGTACCCAAACAATGACACATCCTCAACCACCCGATTTCAATTTAAAAATCAATGATGATTGTGACCTCCTTATATCAAAAGTAAATGGTCTCACTGTATGCATTTCCGGTTTCAGTAGCCTTGTAGCTTTGATAGTTCCACCTACAACAAGCTTCACAAAAAACTGTTGCCCAAAAAACCAAGCCCATTCTTATCCAAAAGTGACCATTTCTTTTTTAGGAGATTTAGAACTGCTAAAAAGTCTTGGTTCTTCAAAAGAGAAAACTCTACCAACTTTCTGAAACAAGTCTCAAGCTTTTTTGGTGAGATTTTGATGCTGAGGTCACCGAAAACTAGTCTCGGGTTTTCCTAGGGAGATTTTGTCTATAAGGTTGGAGGGACATTGAAGAGAGAGAGAGAGAGAGAGAGAGAGAGCTCTTTGCTCAAAATGGTAAGTTATTCTAAGTAAACTAAGCAACAGCTTTTTAAAAAGATCAAGTAATATGGAAAACTAACTCAAAGTCAACCTTAAATATAAAAGACACTGCCAAACAACAAATAATTTAATACTCATGAGTATTTCTATCCTAAGAGTGAATAATCAGTGATAATAGGCACATCCAAACATGCACTTGAAAGGATGAGATGAAATTTTGTAAACGTTCTAAAAAACGTCATTAATTTCTCTGCAAAAGAGTATCAACGATTAGAATCTGCACTCGTCACATCTTATTACTGCACCTGGTTATAATGGTATTAGAGATGTGTCAAACTTAGGCTCCAATATCGATCATCATGGAACAAGTTCATTTGGACCATTTATCAATTTGCGGTCATTTGGATCTTCTATCAGTTTGCATAGCAGAGGTTATTAGTTTTGCTCTTAGTTGAAATATTAGGTCATACCCCTCGCTGGTAGGGTAATTGCACACACTTCTCACAATGAAGAAGTTATATGGGCCAAATATTGGAACACTCCGAAATTTGAAGACTCAATTCTCTGATTTTCGGGATGGGTTTTTACCAGGCCTCAACCAATTAAAAAAATGCCTAGTGTGAGACATGGCTGATCAATATAAAGATCATAGCTTCTGGTCTATTAATACCCGATAGTAACACAAAAAGTTCTGGTTGAGCAACCTTTTTTTATGTTTTAATCCAACATTTACTCCGATGCTTTATACCGTATTAGCATTATCACACCAGTCATACATGTAAGCTCCATCAAATATATTGCTGCTGCCATTTGCTGTTAATTAAAGAAGATATTCCTCAAGTTGTTGATTGAAACTTAACAGAAAATGATGGCAATGCATGGTTCCATGATATGCAAAACTGTACCCAAGAAAGCCTACATTCATAGACTGATTTCAACCTACAATCCTCTAGCGATCCATATTTGTCACAAATTAAGTGCGATTCATTCCTACTCTTTTCCTTATATCTTGAATCCCGAAACTTATGGAAATAGATATTCTTGACCACACTAATAAAATCCATATATAAGTGCAGACACCCCCCTATAATCTCTAGCTAAGGGAAGTCATAGAAAACTCAAATTCTGAGTCCCAAGGACCATAGTGAGCCTAGACCCCTTAGAATTGTTCCAAAGTCACCTAGAACCTATCCTAGTACCCCAAGATTGTTATCTTAGATACCCTGGAACCTTATGAACATAGAATACTAACCCGAACACCAATTCGACACCTAGAAACAGGAAACTGAGATTCTAAAGTCGTAGCCATGTAGACCCCTAAAAAATAACTCAAATTTGACCAAATTTGGTTCCACAATATACAAGAGGTCACAAGTTTTCCAACTGTTCAAGAATCTCCTGAATCCAACTTACGGTTAGATAGTTATGACCCGAACAAAATTGTTTAGAAAAATGACAATTGGTCCTTGGCACGAGCCTCAACCACTCGCTTAGCGCGAGTTGCTGTGACTAGTGCACTTTTCAAGCTGTATTTTATCGGGCCGCGCGAGTCTCCGCAACTCTCGCAGGCCCAACAGGCCCAAAGTCGGTTCCAGGTCCTCTAGAAACTCCCTTGAGGCGGTTTTTGGACGGGATAAGCCTGAAAAATGATCAAATTACCCCTTTCCCAGTTGGATTAGGACACAAACTTTAGATCCATAAATTTCAACGATACCCCTAGGCTAGGTCTACATAAACCCCTCTTAATAATTCTAAAAAATCATCTGGAAAATCCTCAAAATTTCCCCTAGAGCCTAGAAAATCCCAGAAATTAGAAAAATACCTAGAAAATTAGGAAAAATACTTAGAAAATTAGGAAAAATCTTAGAAAACTTAGAAATATTAGGAAATTCGTCTAAAAATCCCTAGGAAAATAGGAAACCCTAGAAAATTAGGGAAATTCCTATAAAACCTTAGGCTAGAGATCCTATGCCGAAATACTCTCAAAGCTCCTGTACAAAACAAAATACTAAAAACAAGTTCTCTTAGACTCAAACCCTAAAGAGACATGCTTCAAGAACAGAGAAGGCATCAAACGATATAAATCCACCTGCGGTCTTGATACAGGCGCCAACTCTGGGTTTCTCAGGTATGTAATTTTCCTTTCTCCTTTTATTTATTTTATTTATTTATTTTCTCTGTTTTACTTTTATTTTTTTATTATTTCTTTGTTTCGTATTTAAGTTAGACATTTAAGTTAGAATTTTCAAGCTTTTTAATGATCTAGTAAGCGGAATCTATAACTGGCGCTACCAATAAATCTTGGAAAGGATCGGATCTGCAAGATCTGTGGTAATTCTAGATCTAGAATTTGAGCGATCCCCACTTCTCTATCGATTTACAAAATTTAACTTGTTTTGCAAGAATTTGAGTTGGTCTCACATCAGAGATTGGTGCAGATTCGCACGTAAACAATAAGCAATACTCAAAAAGATCAACTGAGTTCATGCTAAATGACCATTGCCTTACTAAATACTGATACACAAAATTTGCTTCTTAGACATGACGCAGCACAAATTCACATGACATAGCAGTTTCCGATTTGTTATACATTATTTTTCTATCATTATGAGTTTCCCACACATGCACTATTACACAAATGAAAATATATAAAAAAGCATAGTTCAACAAAATTCAGAATGTGAGACACGTTTCCAAGGGTCCAATTGTGAAACATGATATCCTGTTCAAGTAGGATCAACATAAGATGCAAAGTGCATAACACAGTCAAGCCAGAGATAAGCAACAAAATATTTTATTTAGAAAAATGCAAATTTGCAAAAACAATACGATACAAAAACTGCATTATGGTTGGCCTATGGAACTGCCTACCCGGTGTATCATAATACTCTGGTTGGTCATAGAAAAGCATAGCTTCACGTAATCGGTGGCGTTTCCCTTCAGTTCCTGCAAACTGGAAAGTGGTGTGCACTGCATATGGTTCAAGTTTCAGTTGCTGGTACATTGCCTGCCCGTGATATTCATGTCCATGTAAATATTCCAATAAATTAATGAGTTAATCAAAGTTCTAAGGAAAAAAAGTTAGTGTTATAGAATTTCAACTTCACACTAACATAAAGATGGAACTGAGAGAGATCAATAGCAGTGAGGAGTTCATGACGATACAAATGCTCCCACACTCTTTTTATCTTCTCAATGGAAACAAATGGAATGCTGAAATTGCTGCCATCATTCTTTAATTACTCAAAGCACACTCTAGTTTGTTAATTCTACCTGAACAAAGTAAGTATGTCCGCTGCAAAATATACTTGCAGGAAGTATCCCAAGTTTAAGTGTTCCATCATAAGCATACACAAGCCCACTTTCTTTGTCTACAGGTGGGCCTAAAGTTTTATGCAGAAGCTCATTGAAACCATTCTGATCCCATACGTTATCATCTGCTAGAAGCATATGTAACCATTCTTTTGCCAGCTTTTTGTTAACATCTGTAGGTCTCCAGTGGAAGATTCCAATATTGTAGGCAGCATTTACTGGAGCAGAAAGATCAAGGGCACTAAATACGTGAATGAAATACTATAAAAGAGAGGCAATAATCTACAGAGAACAACTCTCTCAAAAAACAAAAATCTCTGAAAAAAAAAATAATCTACAGCGAACAATTCATAATCGTGAGCTCCAATCTATCTAAGAAATGCTATATGCAATGGAGACTTATGCAAAAGAATGACATATAGTAATAATCTATTTATCAAAAATAAATACATATTTTTCTTTATTGTATTAAACCAATCTAGTTGGTTGGCACATAAAAACTTTATTACAGAAGACCAGCTAGACAATTGTGGTAGAGCACACTATCTACAGAATAAGCCACATCATTATATTTTTAACAATTCAATCTAACTCAGCAGATATACAAAATTCTGCTCCAAACTACAATACATGCATACTTGAAAATGAGTGTTGTACATGTGTCAGGTACTTCACAAACAAATTACCAAAAAGGGCACAGTTTACAGTCATATCCAGGCATCAGAGATTCCAAATTTATGAGTTCTTTAAAGCCTCATATTTATGCATTATTTTTCGTTTTTATGACAACAAAAACTTTCTTAAAATTTAAAATAACAAACAATTAAAAGAAAAAAGAAACTAAGAGGATGACAAGGCATTACCTCAATGGCTATGAAAGCCCTTCTATACTAGGGGCTCTCCTAGGGTATCATTCAAATAACTATGCGGTCCCTCAAAAAAGAGAACCTCCCATGGACACCCTCTTTGCTTCTTTATCTATGTCATCCCAGCCCTTCAAAAAAAAAAAAATCACTAATGTCTACAAATCGAATAAACTGATCCATGGATAGAACAGTTCATTCAACTTATAGATTTCTTGATTTGAGATAGAAGAATCCCTGAGATGTCACTAGACTTTCAACATTGAATATGGTGTATGCAGAGTAGGGCCTCTTTAGGCAGCCCATGTTGTTTATTATTGTTGCAAAAGAAAAATATTTCTTTTCTTGAAGAACAGAAGAAAAGGAGGATATTTCACACACCAGATATTTAAATTCCAGGTGTAATCTAATGCTTTTCTTGAAGAACAGAAGAAAAGGAGGATATTTCACACACCAGATAGTTAAATTCCAGGTGTAATCTAATGCTTTTTGCATCTTTTTTCTTCTATTTCTCTGTCCTTTTTTTTCCCATTCACGTACTAGCTTTGTAGAAATATATTGTGCAGTAACGAAATGCGAAATACTTGATGTTCTCCTTCACTCACAAATCAACTGTGGATTTCCTAATCTTTTTAACTTTATTATTTACCATTTTTTATCATTGACTGATTTTTTTTTAATTAAGTTTCTGAGAAGTGGAATATTGGTACATGTAGGGCAAGTTATCAGGTCAGCAACTCGACCCAACGTGACCCAGATATAATTATAAAATATATAGATATAATTGCACAACATGTGAAATGGAGTATTGGGTAGGTGTTCTGGCCCTTTCCCAAGAGGTCTTGGGATCAAACTCCCTCACGTGCATATTTTACCCTTAAACTCTACCATGGCCAGTCCCGAGCCCAAATAAGAGAGAAGGGTTATGTTAGGTTGGCAGCTAGTATTAAACTTTTGCCACATTTCTACTAGAATCTTGATCCAATGTTATGTCCTCATTCTAGGGCGTTCCCTGTAAGCAACATATTGTACCAGCACCTGGATGCAGAGAGAACTAAGTAAGGGTTAGCTAGGGCCCAAGTCTCCTTGGGGTCCCAATTCCAATAGGATCCCCATGCCTCATTAGCCCATACTGCCCCTGAAAGAATACCTAAAGTTAAAAGGGTAAATCCTATACCAATAACACGATAACTCCAATGATCTAATTGCTGAGTAAGTTGTATCTCGACCCTTAACTACTAAAGAGTTGTAAATATTGGGAATCTTGCCAGGGGGAAAAGCTACATCCAGTACCGGACCAATGATTTGAGCGATACGTCCCATGCTTTTTTCGGCAAGTGTAGAAGCCCCGGAACCCTTAAACTCTACCATGGCCAGTCCCAAGCCTGAATAAGAGAGGAGAGTTATGTTAGGTTGGCAGCCAGTATTAAACTTTTGCCACAATACTACAAGAATCTTGATCCAATGTTACATGCTCATTCTAGGGCGTTCCCTGTAAGCAACATATTGTACCAGCACCTGGGTGCAGAGAGAACTAAGTAAGGGTTAGCTAGGGTATCCCCTGGAGCAATGTGCAACAATGCCCAATTGTGCTGATAAATGCGCAAAGGTTCCTAAGTCATTTTGGACGAGCACGGGTAAAGAAGCTAAAAACATTTGGGTCCTCTGGGTCCGCCAAAGGTCAAAAGCAGACTCGACTGAGCCTGGATCTACGTCTAGTCTCCCCCAAACCAACCCCTATTGCCCAGGCAGGATGTACCATTCATGTCAGGGTCGACCTGATCCATTTGCACCCCTAATTACATGGATTCAAAACATTATTCAATTTTCAGAGAAGTGGCATGTTGCTATGTTATTCCAAATATTGTTATGTCCATTTTTCTTGACACAAATATCTGCCCATTTTTTAATTTAAAAAGTAATGTGTTTGTTGTGCCATGTCTCATATCCATTCTTTGATGGTTATAGAGCCTCATTCAAGCCTTCAAGGAAAAGACTTCAGTCATTTACAATACATTCTTTAATTTCTGTTTGGACTATTGCATCGATCAATGAAAGGCGCCACTACAAGCACATGAAATGCCTTGGAGTGATGGACTCAACCACTAGACATATTACAAGCGTCCGAGTTCATCTCCCTATGCAACTGGGATATCTGAAATGCATAAATTCTTGGTATTAAATCCAATAAAAACATTAAAGAATATAACAATGGTGAAAAATGCTGCTCATGAATTTCTTCTAATTCCTGGAGGCACGATACAAGATTCAGCTTCCCTAAAAATAAAATGATATGAGTTCTGTTGGGACTTTGCTACATTGACCAGACTAAAGCAGATATACCAGAAACCAAATGCACGAGAAATCATGATTTTCACCTTGTTCCCAATCAGCCAATTTGTCATCCACAACAGTAGGAATCACTTGATCACTGGATGTCAAGATATCTGCTCCAGGAAAACGAGCAAAATATGGAAGTGGGTTCTGCTAAACAAAAAATAAGAAATGAACCATGATTCATTACCACAAAAAGGAAATGAAATGAACCGTAACCCTTCAATATGGACCAATGTTTATATATAAATCCAAAGGTTTATAACAGACATAAATTTAATGCTATTATTCATAAACCATAGCGAACTCAAATTTCTTTTTAAAATTATACTGCGGGAGAAAAGAGAATACATTAAATGCATACTCCAACAATTCTGATGTTGTCTCTTGGACAAGTTAATATATGACCTACAAATAACAGATAAATTTTAGCAGGAAACAAAAACTTTACCGGTCAACAATTTTTTTGTGGATTTTACTCATCCATAACTAACACGAACAAACTACCAAAAGAGCCCAAGAAGTCATTCCTGACCTATAGCAAGAAGCCTGACATTGAAGGTTCAATTTGGTCATATTATATTATCCAAAAGTAGACTTAGCAAAGACCGAATAGGATCAACTCGACTGATATGATGGTTATGTTTCTCTATGTTGAGAAAATTCAAATATTGTTGGATCATGATATGCATCAAATAGTCCACACTTGGGCTTGATGAGTGGATGGACTTTCACTATTTTCCATAACAATTTCAATCTATTTCAGTATTTTAATTCATTATACCATTATGATTGGGAGAAAATCAATAGAAAGTTGATCTTTTGCAAAATATTCATAATCAGTCAGTGTGGAGAAATTAAATCTAGGCAAGGTGTGCAATGTCTAGAATCTCTTGACAGTCTGGCTGGCTCTTTGTGTTGGTTTGCCAAGCAAGCAGAACTCATTATGTCCATTTGCCAACACAATGCATTTAGTTGTTTTGCAAAGCAAGCAGAATCATTTTTCAAGTTGGAAGGGTAATATTTTATGATTTGGATGCCGAATCATATCAATCAAACAAGGCTTTCTAAGCCTCTTTCCTACCCCATGTCCAATTTTAAATTGCTCTAAACACTTTCACAATTTCCCCACCATCCCTTGCATGCCGTGTCTCACACAATAACTTCATGAACTTTCCCCAATTTTCCATTTTTTCTCCCTATGCTTTCCAAGATCTCCAAACCTCTTGGCCTAATAAATGTTGGAAATATGGCCTTTCAAGGCCTAAATTCCAGTAGTCTCTCATTCAATGGAAGCGATTGACGGATTGAAATTCGGGTGCCTTACAAAATGTGCCCAGATTCTTTTATCCCAAGTACGCATGAGGCATCAAGAGTTCACGTGTTGAGAAAGCAATTTCTCAAGGAGGTGTGAGGGTCACCCCCTAGTCAGGATTTTATAGGTTAGCCTCATGTTTAGCTGCGATTGGCCACGGCTTGGATAATCCAAACGAGAAAAATAGAAACCGAGTACTTATTGAGTATTTACCCTGTATGGAATGGTCAAGACTTATGGGACATAAGCCCGTATCCTGACACGAAACCATTCCATGGCATGTGCATTTCATTTCGTACGGGAAGCCACTCTTCCAGATACATTATCCGAGTTTGGAAGAGGCAGTGCACATATGCTTTGAGAGGACCCTTGTAACTGAGTTAGATCATGTCCCACAGGGGATAATCCATTAAGAGCCGAATGATCATAAGTTATGGCTCAACGGCTTTGATGTGGTCAAATATGTGTCCATGCTTTAGTTTGTGGAACATAGGTCCATTGGGTTGATCTGAGACTCGGCAATGGAGTACTCTGATATCTATAATTATAAGCCTGAGATCTCACTATAACATTTTTTCTATTTTTATAATGATGAGAAAAACCTAATAATTGCTCACAAATACTTTAAATATTTTTTGTGAATTTTAGAGAATTTTTTGGAATTTTTATTTGCTCAAAAATGAGGTTTTTCGAATTGTTTGGCTCAAATTCCACTTTAATCCTAACATGGTAGTGCCACGTGGCATCCGAGTGACCATAGGACTGCCACGTGGCACCCCACGCCCAACCGTAGGATCACTGCCCAACTGGGTGCTGATCCCTAGGCAGGGGGAACCAGTTTGGCATTTGGTTGTTTGTTTTATAAAGGGTTGTGTAATGGTGTCTTGTTAATTTGTTATATATGGTTATATTTTGTTATATAGTGTTATAACTTAAAGGCCCATTTTTATTACATGTTTTAATTAACTCACCCATGGGCTATGCATGGCATGTGTGAAGTTTAATTCAATTGTTTAATAATATTAAAGAGAATTTTGATTTTCAAATTTGAGTCGAAAAATATCTTCAAAATATCTTTACACACATGTGTGAAGGGGATATTATCTTTGAATTGATTGGTTTGAAATTTTAGATCTATACAGTGATTGGCTTTGATAAATTAGAATCTTCTCACATGTGTGAGCTTTACCAATTACTTCTTAGCCCATTACCCTTGGCAGTTGTCTACTCTAATATATTATTTAAAAACTAAAGGCGATTTTGTAAGAGCATATTGGATTCAGTTCAAGGACAAAATGGTAAAGTGGCATAACTTAGAGTTAGTGTGAATGATAATTGTGTGAAATCCCATCCTTTCATCCTAATAGTTGGATGGGGATGGGTGGCTAGGTACATTAGCCTTTAATATGCCTTTGGATTAATGCATTAAGGGTGTTGATTGAATCCAAGGTTACACCCATGTAATAAAAGTACATCTTTAGATCTCAAACCCTAACTATCTCAACACTTGAACCAATTTGGAAAATTCAAGCCTCTTTTTTCTAGAGCTTTGTAAGAGAAAATTGAAGAGAGAGAGAGACCTTATGTTTTTCACAAAAGCTTTTAGAGTTCCATTGATGAATTTGGTGATCTTGATGGTAGTCCTCCTTTATTATATTTGAGTCCATGGTGTGCAGTCATCAAGGTAAACTCCATTGAACTTCTTCCTCTCAAAAGTTCATGTTCTTAGCATCTACAGTTGCTGAAGTATGAAATTTACAGAAATTTTATTGAACTTAGAATCTCCTGTTGATCATCTTTTCATCATACTTATTCATAGTGTGGTCCTTCATGAGTTGTAGCCAATATAAATGAGAATCTATGATCATGTTGGAACTATGGCCTATCAAGGCCTAAATTCCGGTAGCATCTCATTTAGTGGAAGCGATTCAGAGATTGGCATCTTACGAAATGGAGCCCAGATTCTTTTACCCCGAGTACGCATGAAGCATCGAGAGTTCACGTGTTGAGAAAGCAATTTCTCAAGGAGTGAAGGTCACCTCCTAATCAGGATTTTATAGGTTAGCCTCATGTTTAGCTGCAATCGGCCAGGGCTTGGAGAATCTAAACGAGAAAAATAGAACCTGAGTACTTATTGAGTATTCGCCCTGTATGGAATGATCAAGACTTATGGGACATCAGTCCGTATCCTAACACGAGACCATTACATGGCATGTGCATTTTCATTTCGTACGGGAAACCACTCTTCCAAATGTATTATCCAAAGATCTAGTGCACATGTGCTTTGAAAGGACCCCTGTAATTGAGTTAGATCATGTCCCACAAGGACACACCTGTAATCCATTGAGAGCTGGATGATTGGAAGTTCTGGCTCAGCGGCTTTGATATGGCCAATTATGTGTCCCTGTTTTAGACTGTGGAACATAGGTCTATTGGGTCGATCTGAGACTCGGCAGAACATCATTCGGGACTAGCCCAATGGAGTACTCCGATACCTATAGTTATTAGCCTGAGATCTCACCATACCTATAGTTCGATTTATAATGATGAGAAAACATAATAATTGCTCAAAATACTTTAAATATTTATTGTGAATTTCAAAGATTTATTTTGGAATTTTATTTGCTAAAAAAATGAGGGTTTCAAATTGTTTGACTCAAATTTCAGTTTATTCCTAACCTAGTAGTGCCATGTGGCGTCCGAGTGGCCATAAGGTTGCCACGTGGCACCCCACGCCTCACTCTAGGATCACCGTCCAGCTGGGCATTAATCCCTAGGCGGGGGACTAGATTGGCATTTAGTTGCTTGTTTTATAAAGGGTTGTGTTATGGTGTCTTGTTATTTATTGTTATATTTTGTTATATAATGTTATAACTTAAAGTCCCCCTTTTTATCACATGTCTTAATTAACTCACACATGGGTTATGCATGGCATGTGTGAAGTGATTTTAAGGTGTGTAATTGCTTCCTATTTGGATTAGACACTCTTGTGAGATTGAACCACTATTGTATAATTTGAAGGGAAAAAATTAAGTCCTTATAAGGCCCGATTGCGTGCCCCGGAACAAGGGATTCGAAACATGGCTTCCCTATTTTAATTTGGCATTCTAATTCCCTGTTTAGTTGATTTTATCCCTTAGAATTTTGTTTAGATTAGTTGCATGTTGTATTTAAGCTTTGGGACATAGTTTATGTAATTCGTGCTATAAAAGTGTAATTCACAAGCCAGCTTTTCTCTATATGTAATTGCCCCATAAGGGGTTGGTATTTGAGTTTATTTGCAGTGGTGTTACAAGGCTAGAAATTGTTGTAATTGTTATTTAAAGAATTGTAACTTATTCACTTAGCTTGGCTTTAAGCAAGTGGCTTGTCCAACGTGTCCATTTTGCCTTGTTTTTTGGTTGGAAAAATTTGCACTAGTCTTTGTATCCAGTATCAGATCATGCTTAGTATCTTTTGATTATTTTACTAAAAATCCATCAAATATCTTAGTCTCAGTGTGTCACTACATTTCCAAAAGTTTTTCATCACGTTTTTACTTATGGGGGTTCATAAGCTTTGCATACAAGTTTGCTTTGATGGTCCGAGAGACCACCGTGTGTAGTTTGGTCATAACTCTCTTGATTTTGATCCGATTTGATTCAAACCTTTTACATTATGTTTTGGATGATAATATCAATGTGTTGAGAACTTAAGGAGTGATTTTAAAGTGTGCAATTGCTTCTATTTGGATTAGACACTCTTGTAAGATTAAATCACTTTTGCACGATCCGAATAGACAAAATTAAATCCTTTTAAGGCACAATTGCATGGCTTCGGCACAAGGGGTTCGACACATGGCTTCCTGATCTTAATTTGCCATTCTAATTCCCTGATTAGTTGGTTTTATTCCCTGAAATTTTGTCTAGAGCAGCTATATGTTGTATGTAAGCTTTGGGATAGTTTATGTAATTTGTGCTATGAAAGTATAATTCATAAGCTAGTCTTGCTTCATATGTAATTGCCCCATAAGGGGTTGGTATTTGAGTCTATTTATAGTGGTTTTACAAGGCTAGAAATGGCTGTAATTGTCATTTAAAGGACTGTAACTTATTCACTTGGCTTGGTTTTAAGCAAGTGGCTTGTTGAAGGTGTCCATTTTGACTTGTTTTTCAGCTGGGAAATTTGCTCTAGTCTTTATACCCACTCTCAATAAATCTCTCCCATATTATCTCTATTCACATTGCATTTCCTGGTTTTTTCTGTAGTTTTTACAAATATTTCATGTCACAAATCATGTCTTTTTTGACACCTTGTTTTGTGCATATGGTTATATGTATTGTCTAAAGAACTTATGCTTTTCTCAGCATTTTGAAACTCGTCCGAGTTGACTCGGATTCGACCAAGTTATTCGGCCTTGGTACCCCACAGAGGTGAGTATTGGCACCTGAACAGAAGTTTGGGCGGGTACAATATGGAATCACCCAAGTGGTATAGAACTCAGGCAGACTGAGTTCTAAAGTACTCAAACGAGTCTGTGGCACTCCCCAAGTACTGTTACTAAATAGAAAAAGGAAAAAGGAAAAAGGGGGGAAAGGGGGGGCAAAAATCAGCCGCCCTTTTTAATCTCTTTGATTTCTGCCCCCTTTCTCTCTTTTTCTTTTGTAACTGCTGCGTTTGATGATTTGGTCATAAATAGCAAAGCAAAGCCTCCTCTGCTTCAAAATACAAGATTTTGATATATTTAGAGGAACAATACATGAGAAACCCAATTTATTTTGATGCAAAAGTTTGGTTTTGGGCACGGGAATAAAAGAGCAGCAACTGCCATTGATTGTTACAAAGGTAATTTCTTTCTATACACCCACTCTAATTATATACTCTATACTTTTCTCTCTCTCCCTAGAAAGCTCTCTCTCTCTCTCTCTCTCTAGCCCAGGCTAAAAAGTTTTCTCTCTCCATATCACAGCTATCTATTGTTGTTAAGCTCAATGCCCTCCCAATAATATATCTCCTTCATTCTCTTTAAAAAACTTATCACTTTCTCTCTAAACTAGACTCTATCATTTCTCTCTTTACACACTGTCTCTATATACTCTGTCTCTTTCACTCTCTAAGAAAGTTACCTCCAAGACTCTCTCTAAACTATACAAAAACTTCTTTCCATCCATATGACCCCCATTGTTTGTTGCTAAGCTCCTCTCTCTCTACATACTCTCTCTGTTATCTCCAAAAAAAATCTCTTCTCTCTCTTCCCATTTTCTCTTCCCATTTTCTCTTTCTCCTCCAAAAACTCTCTATTTCTCCCTCTTCCCAAATTTTCTCTCTACATTCCCCTCTCTTATCCAAGAATTCTATCTGCTTTTTCTCTTCCCAAATGCTCTTTCTCCCTCTTAGCCACGTGCCCATACTATATCTCACTCTCACCACTTGCCCCACGCTTTCTTTATCACCTGGCCACGTGCCCATCCTCTCTCTCTCTCTCTCTCTCTCTCGCTCTCTCTCTCTCTCTCTCCACATACTTCATGCTCCCCCCCCTCCCCCTGGGCAGGGAAAAGTGTTTTCAAGGATTTCTTTGTTTGTACTACTCAAACGAGTCAGATCCTGAGCCCGACCTGAGTAATTTAACAATGCTTTTTCTAGCTACTTTGATTTGATTCACCATAAGGAAAGAGAAGAACGTCCATTAACATTCACCAAATCATAATGGCTACAATTGCATGTATGTGCAAGAAAACCCTAACATTAGGGATCCCAAGCAAGTCTTTAACTCATACAAGTCTATCTAAAACCTCCTCGTGGCCAAAATTTGATATTAGGAATTTAGAAGGTTTTAAAAGTAATTCATTGAAATTGCCACTAAATGGAATCGATTGTACAGAACATCATTTCACCATTATGACAACAGGTGCACTTATTATATCTACAAGCACCCCGCCAATAGCTATGACATGCTCCAACAACAATACCATCCAAATACAGATAAGAAAAAGAAAGTTGTATGACTTCAGTGTTAATGAAGGCCCCCATCTACAACAGGTGCACTTATTATATCTACAAGCACCCCGCCAATAGCTATGACATGCTCCAACAACAATACCATCCAAATGCAGATAAGAAAAAGAAAGTTGTATGACTTCAGTGTTAATGAAGGCCCCCATCTAAGGAATATATGTGTGCATGCATGAATTTATGTTTCTAAATTTCAAATAATGCATAATTATGGAATGGTAAATTCAATTTTTGTCACGTGAATAAACATTATAGAACATCATTTTCATTTCATTTGATATAGAAATCATACTTGCACAAAATCATTTTCTTATCAACTGTACTTGGTCAAAAATTAAAAATGAAGAATTATCATTAATCAAAAAAATGAAATATGAATACATCCATGTAATCCTCATAAATGCTAATAAATGCATTGGATGATCATAATTTCTTGTGTGTGTTGTGTTTATAATGAGTAGAAACCACAAATATAAATGTATTGCAAAACACCTAACCGAGCACATTCTTGACAGCATCTATAAGAAAGTGATTTGAGCTAAATTGAAATGACCAGCACCTCTCAGTGGAGAAAGGCATACCTTTAACCAAACCATGTCTGTGTCACACATCAATAGTTCATATCCAAAGGGAAGAATGGCGTTTATTAGCAAAACCTTCTCCCTTCCCATTTTGTGAAATGTCTTTGACCCCCAACCAACATCAACTGTACTCATGTTACTGCCCATATTAAAAACTGGAATGCCCCTCCAATATAGAGCCTCTAATAGTTGAACATCCATTGCACCTATAACAAAATTTAAACCTCACATGAGAATATATAATATTCCAGCTGCATAGGGGATAAAGTTCAACTCATGATCGTTACCAACAAGAAGATTGTAAACTCCAAGATCTGTAAGGTGCTTGACCCAAGTCAGTATGAAGTCCATGAATGCATGGTTCCCAAAAGTTACAATGATGACATTGTCCTTTGCTCGATCAGCAACCATCTGTTTAGTCAGTTGAAATTCATTTAGGTCTGGCATTTTTGACCCAGCAGGGGGGGATTCCCATATGGCCTTCTCCCAAATATTTTGAAACTTTGAAGAGCTTGGTATAGTCTCAGTTCCTCTATCAGAGAAATTATCTATTGTTTCATTTCCTCCTGTTTGAGAGATATTTGACACATGCTCCACGTGTGTCACTCCAGCATCTGTTTTAGATGTTGACAATAAAAGCATTGGATATAAGCAAGCAAGAAACAAATGAAAGACAACACAGAAAGAACATTCGAGTGGAATACACCTAGCATAGTTACCACAAATGAAGGGGGAGCATAAGTCCATCAATTGCTACAGCGCTTTATAGATTAAGAAAATAAAACGACCTTATGCATTTACAGATGAAGTATAATTTCCGCAGAACGATAATGCTACAACTATCCAATAATCAGGAGTCAGTAAATTGTAATTTTACTATAGGATCTTAGAAGCCACCCAAGCCTACCATAACAAAGCACCTATCTGTTCAAATCCCCTGGGCCCGTGAACTAGGACGAACAAAAATTACAAAGTATGCATAAATTAGCTTCTTTTGAAACTAATAATTTGGACAGGAAAGAGAGACTATTGTGCATAACTTAGCTGTATTTCAGACAAATTACTTTAAAGAAGCAATGAAAAATAAGAACCATAAGTACCACCTAATACACATAAATTAGCTTCTACTTGGAAAGATGATTCAAATTAGAAACAAAAAAAAAAAACACACCCAATAAAAGACTTGAAATCGCTTTAGCTGCTCAATTAGCTAGCTCCATAAAGAAATGATTTAAGCTAGAAACATTTGCAGAGTCCCATTATAAACTCCAAACTTACTTTACATCTACTACCAGCTTCCAACAAATAATCCAAACAAGAAACAGAGAAAACTCTATTAAAATAAGTTCAAATTGCCTAATCCACAAAGTGGAAGAACCTCTACATTAACTGAAATGCATAAATTTAAGCTGATTTGTTGACAAATAATCTAAAGCAGAGACAATCAAAAGTCTACAAGAAATCAAAACCAAATATGAAAACAAAATAACAGATCAGGAATTACCAGTAGAAGAGGGGGTACCAGACCAAATCCCTGAATAAATAGGCCTCCCAATAAACACCGTGGTGAGGAGTATAGCAGCGAGAACAGTCGCCTGGATCCCTATAAAGAGCGGCTTCATGTTAGCCAGCTCCTGGAAAGGATACCAGGCCATTGAAATTAGAGGAAACGCCTTTTACGCTGTCACGCGTGGTTAGAGAGAAGATTCACAGTCCACAAAATCATGGTAAAATAACTGCTCTTAATCATCAGAGTCTCTGATTCCCCTCTATGAATCATGCCCAATCTTTTGAACTGACTCTTAAGAGAGAAGGTTTCAATTCAATGAAAATTAGGGCAAAATTCTGTTAAAATTCATGAGCAGTTGCAAAAAAATTCCCGGCAAAGTATCTCTGATAAGAATTCAACAGCTGATCGGACAATCCTGAAAGAAGACGGCCACAGACATTGACAACTTCAAATCAAGACTCGAGAAATTTGCTCAAATTATTTAAAAATTGGTTGGAAAATTGTGGTATTTAAATAAGGCTGCTTCCTCTAAGATTCCGTGCTGCCCTCCCCATTGTCAACGATGACTGGAGCAAATTTTTTACAGTAGAATTTAGGGTTTTCTTTGTCTATAATAGTACTCCGTTTTCTTATTTTATTGTCTGAAGGGCACTCGACAGCTATTACATTTCGGCTTCTTCAGTATGCAAGACGATGGGACTGAACTGAACTGAAAGGTTCAACTGATGTAAAAATAGCCCTCGTGCGTAAATTAAGAGAAAATTGTGACCACTGGTGCATGTGCATTGAATGTATCTTTCATTCACGAAATTAATGTTTTATCGTTTAGTTGTAGCTTTCATTTACGAAATTAATGCTTTATTTTTTAGTTTTTTACTTCTAGTTTTATTTGTGTTTGTATTTGTCCTGTTTTATGTTAGGATGGGTGGCCCGCTCATTCTGTGTTTTATGTTAGGACGGGGTTTCTATGAGTCGGCAGACTCATGCTCTACTTTTAATCTAAAATTTAGGTATTCATGATATAGGTAAAGATGAATGATAAATGTGAAATAAAATAAAATTTTAAATATCTAAAATATTAATTTTTTAAAAAAATTTATGTAAATAGGCCCATGAGTTTTTTTTTACGTTCGGCTTAAAGATGGACGTTGGTGAGTCAATGGGCTCTTGCATCAGCTTACTCACATATAACTTTTCTTACGAAAAATCATTTGGATATTTTAAATGTTTTAATTATTCGTAGAGATTTATAAGTTTCAAATTTCAATTCTCGGATGATAAATACAAAATTAAAATGAAAGATTTAAATTTTTGGGAAAGACATGAGATAGGTGTCCCACTTTCTTATACTTTTCAAGAAAGAATCTAGCAATTGGTTGCATCACTTAAAGAGATCAATTGATTGGAGATGCTTAAATATAATGATTGAGAATGGAAAGTATTGACGAGATTTTCAGAGCTTATTCTAACTAATGAACTAAAAGACCTGCTTTTTGTGGGGGCTCAACTTACATGATCTAGTAACTGTTCACTGAATCCTATTTTGTTAAGACTAAGATTGAATCTTAATTGTCACATTGTAGAATGAATTGTTTCTAGGAAAGGGGCAAGTCCTGGTGGTAGCACCCCATACTTAATTATCATATTGTGGTTTTCAATCTTGTTGACACCACCCATGACACCTTAAAAAAACTAACTACCTAATCCATAGGAAAAATGGGTAGAGCCTATCTTCCTCACTTAATTACCTAAAAACAGGAATGAATTGCTCCCAATAGCACCAATGAGGCCATTACCATAATACCATTGGTGTTGGAAAGTGGGATGAATAAGTTTGGCAAGTCTTGAGTTTGAAATGTGTAGGATTAATGAAATCTTCATGAATGAATGGTTAAATAGACATCGAAGTCCTGTGTGATTATTGGCTAGAATAGATACCATAGTTAGCAAGTCGGAAACTAAAACATCGATAATAAATGGGTTTTATTTAAAAAAATAAGAGGAAAAAAATCTGGTAAACAATATTGATCATCCAAAAATAAGGCAAGTTATAAAATCATTAACATTTCGGACTTGGCTAAAAAAAAACATGTCTGGGATCAAAGCTAAAATCCCATATGTATAGTGAGGCCCATGTTCCCCATGAGCCACCCCTATATAAAATCTTGTCAAGAATGGCCCTCATTCAAAGACTAAATCCTAGCCATGAAAAAAGGCAATCATAGATATACGTCATGTAGGATCACGCGTGGGATATAGATAAAATAACCAATCCTTCATATGTTGGGTCATGGCACCTAGCTTCTGCGCACCTTGGACAGGGGCACCTACCATCTCAATCGGGCCATATGCCATATCATATAGGCTATGCACATATCGGTCTGGCCATGTAGGCTCTAGGGGAGCTCACCTATCCAGCTCCGCCCCTCTTCCTTTTTTTTTCGCCTCCCTTTCTCCTCTACCCTCCTACCTGCCTTCTTCTCTTCTTTCCCTTTAGCGATCTTGCGGTTTGAGACAACATCCAAGCACTGCGAAAAAATCAAATGTGTAAAAATGGCACAATATAGATTTTATGTTTTGCAGCTATTGTTTAAATACAATAAAGCCATTGAACAATAACTTTATGGCCTTACCTAGTGTTATTAGAGTAATACTAGATAAATTTTAGTCTAAACTCTCAATAAATCTAACAACAATGCTCACTTTTTGTCATAGCATAAAACATGTAATAGATTTATTGGGACATAAAATGAAACAACAACAACAATACTAAACATAAAGAACTATATTAGTAAATAACAAAAATTCTAAACTAAGGAATAGAATTATTGTTCCCAGAACAAAAGAAAAAAGACCTTGAGCATAGGATTGTAATTAACTAAAATAAAATACAAAGGTCCAAATATGTAAAATAGTAATCCATTCAAAATGTTATATTGTATGCACCAATGGAATAAAAAATAAAAATAAAAATATAAAATTAATCAAACTTTTCTATGCATAAAACAAGCAACAAAATCCTTAAGCAAATTCAAATTGACATTAAATCCCTAGCTACCTAAATATAGTAAACAACCAAAGGTGGTAGTCAAGCAATAACTTCGATGTTTAAAGCTTCGGCAACTACATTACTATTGCCCAATGGAATGTGGATATAGTAATACAGGAGAATAGCTCAAAAGGTGTTTTCATTGTTAGCACTACATTTATATAATTGTTCTATGATAAACAAGATGAAGCAAGCCATGTTTTGTTAGAATGTGGAAATTACATGTGGAAATTACATGTCATAAACAATGCGAGATGTTTCATATGGTTGTTGAAAATGAGAAAGTTGTTGACAATTGATGAAGTAGTGAAAAGAGGAAAAATTATCATAGAAACAATAAACCATTTGTTGTTATATTGTATATACATGAAATATATGCAGGGTTGGGTTTTGAATGAATTGTGCCTTCAATTATCCTTGTCATCGCGAGCCAATGATGGGCATATTAAAATTTTAGATAAAAAAATTACATAAAAATTTTAGAGAAAGACACTAACTCAAAACTAAAGTTTTAGAGAGAGAAAGAATCATAAAATTTTAGAGAGAATAACTATATCAAATTTTAAAGTGAGAAATTATCTAAAATTTTTTAGAGAGAGAAACTATCTCAAATTTTTTGGAAAGAAACTATCTCAAATTTTAAGTTTTAGATAGAGAAAGTACCTAAAATTTTTAGAGATAGAAACTTCTTGAAATTGTTTAGAAAGCAAAAGTATCTCAAAATTTTTATAGAGAGCAATTTTAAGTTTTAGAGAGAGAAAGTATCTCAAAATTTTAGAGAGAGAAACTATATCAAATTTTAGAGAGAGAAAGTAACTAAAGATTTTAGAGAGAGAAACTATCTCAAAATTTGTAGAGAAAAAAACTATTTCAAATTTCAAGTTTTTGAAAGATAGTGTAGTAAAATTTTAGAATAAAAACCATATCAAATTTGGAGAGAGAATATTAGATTTAGAAAACATGAGGAGCTTAGAAGTTGTTTAAGAGAGAAACAATCGCTATCGATTATTATTAATCAGGAATGAAATACTAAAAGGGTTTATATACAAATACATATTTAGTGTGAGCTCAAGAGCCATCTAGAGAGAGAAACAATCTCTATTGATTCTCATTAATCAGAATGAAATAAAAGGATTTATATACAAATACATATTTAGTATAGACCACATTATCCCTACACAAATATACAATGACAATAAAGAACAACTGAGAATTATGTACACACATTATTACCCCCCTCAAGCTGATGCGGACCTAAGTAAAGCATTAGCTTGTCCACTAGAAAATTATGGTGTTTCTGAGTAACAGATTTGGTGAAAATATTATTCTTTTACTCAATAGAAAAAACATAAGGAGAGATAATGTACTATCAAGATAGCGATCACGAACATAATGGCAATCTGCAATAATATGTTTTGTTCTCTCATGAAAAACTGGATTAGATGCAATCTTAATTGGGCTTTGGTTATCTGCATATAAAAGCGTGGGATTTAAAATAAAGATACCAAATTCATTGAGAAAAGCACGAACCCAAACAATCTCACTAGCAACATATGAAATAGCACAATACTCAACTTCAGTTCTTGACTTAGAAATAGTGTCATATTTTTAGCTCTTCCATGATATTAATGATGATCCAAGAAACACACAATCTCCTGTAGTTGAGCGGCAAGTGTCAGGATCACCTGCTCAATTTGCATCTGCATCTGCATATGCATTAAGATCTAAAGAGGATGTGGAGTCAAATAATAATCTATGATTAGAAGTACCTCGAACATAGCGCAAAATTCGGTAAACTGCCAATAGATGTGGTCGTTGAAGATCTAAAACAATCTGATTCACAACATGAACAGCATATGCAATATTTGAGTGAGTCATAGTGAGATAGATAAGAGAGTTTGCGAGTTTATGATACATTGTAGGCTTAAGAAGAGGATCTCCAACATGTGCAGAAGTTTAACATTAAGTTTCATAGATATATCAATAACATTCGCATCATTCAATTAGGCACTGGAAACAAGATATCAATAACATTCACATCATTCAATTGAGCACTGGAAACAAGATCATGTGCATACTTCTGTTGATAGATATAAATACCACATTTAAACCGAGAGATCTCAAGTGTAAGGAAATAAAATACTTCCCCAAGGTCCTTCATTTCAAGAATCTTCAAGCAATCCCAAGTTTTAAGAATATAACAATGTTTTCTTTCAGCAATTCCATTCTGCTCAAGGGTATGACGACATGAACGTTGATAGATAATGTAATTTGTATGATGCTTCATTGGATAAATACTCCACCCCCTTAGAATCGGGCTTAAAAACTTTAATTTTTCCTCAAATTGATTTTGTTATCATATTGTGGAAGTCTTTAAACACATTTGACTTGTGTTTGAGAAAATAAACCCAAGTATATTTCCAAAAATCATCTATAAATACCACATAATTAGAAAAACCACTAATTGAAGGAACATGAGTAGGGCCCTAAACATCAGAGTGCACTAAAGAGAAAGGCTGAACACTTTTAGTATTGCTATGAGGAAAAGGTTGCCAAGTGTTTTCCAACTTGCAACTCTTAAAACCAATATTCTTATTAAATTTTCTATGAGTGAAGACAACATTTAAAAAAGAGAGTATTTTTTGAGTGTGTGGGTGTTCTAACCTGCAATATCAAACATACCAAAGAGAGTTTGATTGATT